TAAAGGTTGGCAGTTTGAACCCACCAGCAGCTTTGCTGAAGAGAAGACCTGGTGATATGCCCCCAAAGATTAAAGATTACAGCCAAGGAAACCCTATAGGGCAGTTCTACTCTGTCCTATAGGGTCACTATGAGTTGGAATCAACTCAGTGGCAACAGGTTTTGTTTTCTGTTTTTTTTCCCAGTGAAGAAGAGTGGTTCATTTTGCTTTAGTTATCAGTGCTACAATTCTGAAGGCAATTGTTTCTCTAGGGTGGCTAAATTCTGATTTTGTTTTTCCCTGTTGTTGCTTTTGTTAGGTGCCATCAAGTTGGTTCTGACTCATAGTGGCCCTATGTATGTACAATAGAATGAAACATTGGTCCTATACCATCTTCACAATCATTTCTATGCTTGAGCCCATCGTTTTAGCCACTATGTCAATCCATCCTGTTGAAGGTCTTCCCCTTTTTTATTGACCTTATACTTTACCAAGCATGATTATCTTTTTCCAGGGACTACTTTTTCCCCTCACAAAACATAAATACTATCGAAAAACATAATGGAATTAGTGTAGGATCTTTCATTTTATCTTAGTAACAGAAATTTACAATCAACCTGTATATAATATTAAGTGAAACAAGAGTCTATATTTTATAATGTTAAATTATTAATAGCCTCGTTTGATATTAAAGGTTGGATAGCATAAGGGTAAATACATAACTGAAAATGAACCAAAAAAAATAAAAAGAAATTTCCCTGGTGCCAAAATGGAAAGACATCTCTGATCCTTTTTCTTTCAGTATTTCCTTTAGAAAACTTGTAATCATAAACCCTTTCAGTCTCTTTGAGATGTATGTAAATCTTTTTAAATGCTCAATAAGCCTCTTGCCAGTTTTGCATCCCAGGAATATTTCATTGCAAAGAGATGGCTCCATCAAGGAGGATGATGCTGTATCTCCCTATCTTGGTAGAAGCTTAGTATAGGCACCTGACTCCAAATTCCTGCTTGTTATATACTAGATATATGTATCTTGTTATATACTAGATATATAATAATATACTAGAAGATTTATTGTCACTTTGGAGAAAGACAGCACGTATACAATAGATTGTATCTGGCTGGTCGTATGAAATGATGAAACTGCTGTCTTTGCAACTTCTTTAGTAGATTGCTTGTAATGTGCATCACAGTCTGATTTAATGTTTGTTGTTGTTGTTAGGTACCACTGAGTCTACTCTGACTCATAGCAACCCTGTGTACAACAGAACGAAACACTGCCTGGTCCTGTGCCAGCCTCACAATCCCTGCTATCACTGAGCCCATCATAGCAGCCACTGTGTCAATTCATCTTGTTGAAGGTCTTTCCCTTTTTCATTAACCCTCCACTTTACCAAGCATGATATCCTTCTCCAGGGAATGGTCCCTTCTAACAACATGTCCAAAGTAGGTGAGATGAAGTCTGGCCATTCTTGCTTCCAAAGAGCATCCTAGCCACACTTCTCCCAGGACAGATTTATTCATTCTTCTGTTGGTCCATGGTATTTTCATTATTCTTTGCCAACACCACAATTCAAAAGCATCACCTCTTTTTCAGTCTTCCTTATTCATTGTCCAGCTTTCACATTCATATGAGGTGACTGAAAATATCATAGTTTGGGTTAGGCACTCCATAGTCCCCAAAATGACATCTTTGTCCTTCAACACTTTAAGGAGTTCTTTCGCAGCAGATTTCCCCAGTGCAATATGACATGTGACTTCCTGACTGCTTGCTTCCATGGGTGTTGATTGTGGATCCAAGTAAAATGAAGTCTTTGTCAACCTCAATCTTTTCTCCATTTCTCCTGATGCTGCTTATTGGTCCAGTTGTGAGGATTTTCATTTTATGTAGAGGTGCAATTCATACTATAGACTATAGTCATTAATCTTCATCATAAGTGCTTCAAGTCATCTTCACTTTTAGCAAGCAAGGTTGTGTTGTTTGTATATCGCAGGTTGTTAATGAACTTTCCTCCAATTCTGATGCCACATTCTTCTTCATATAGTCCAGCTTCATGTACTCCACCACAGTATGACAAACTGACATGAGTAGTGGGGTTTAATGTTTAGTCAATTATAAAACCTTTCTTTCTTTTATACATTTGTGGAGATTTTATTTTAAATTATTTTCCCAATATTATAATACTATTTTTTTAAGTGTTAATTCTAAATTTTTTTTTACATTAGATACTTGTTTTGAGCTCTAATTATTAAGGTGATGGTTAAGAGTATGAGCTTTAGAGTCAGAATGATTGGCTAAAGATGTAATTTCTACCCAAATCTTTTCATGTCTACCTCTGTGATGTGGCCAAGTTACCCAACACTCCCAGAAATGTTTCCATGTATAGATACTGCAAAAGTTCCTAACAACAACAAAAATTTCAGAATTAATAATTAGATTTTTAAAGTTCTAAACAGAAATATCTAGAACATAAATTATTTCTTCAAAATTCAGCAGAAAAATACAGCAAGGATTGGTTCTAAATCATAATTTTAAAAAGCGATTGTGAAAATGCTACCACTATTTTATTATGTTTAGTACTTATATTGTTGTTAGCTGCTGTCTAGTTGGCCCCCAACTCTTGGTGACTCCATGCACAATGGAGTAAAACACTGCCCAGTTCTGTGCCATCCTCATGATCAGTTATGGTCAGACAGTGTTCTTTTGTGACCCATAGGGTTATCTTTGCCTGGTTTTTAAAGGTGGATTGCCAGACCTGTCTTCCTACTCCTTCTTAGTCTGGAAACTCTGCTGAAACCTTTTTAGTGACAGCACATACGGTGGCTGATCATGAAGTGTATTTGCTTGGAGTTAAACCTGCTCTCTCACATGGAAGGCAAGAATTCTGCCAATGAACCATCACTGCTTTTTAATACTTATACTACGTTGAGATTGTCTTATTTGCTTATTTTTTAAATTGTCTTTCTCCCTTCATGTAATCTCCATGAGGGCAGGGGGCTTTTCTATTCAGTTTACCACACAACTACAGTGCCCAGTATACTAAGCAAAATAAATACTAATTGAATGATTTAATGTATCCTTTCCAAACCATCCTACTACTTCTTTAAAAAAAAAAAAAAAATCTGCTTTCCCTCCCTGCTAACATTTGGCTCTCAATTTAACTCAGTATATAATCCTCGATGCCAATAAATACTTTCATTTCCCTGTGGCATGCTTTGTCAGAGAGAGGAGGGAGGGAGGAAACACAACTGTCACTGAAACGGAATCAACATACACTAATACAATAATACAACTGATTTAATACATTTAACTGTATTAACTAACCCACAAAGATTTCAAAATATTTCACCCCAATATTCCCCAAACTACTTCCTTAACCCCCATTCACCTAAATCAGACTGTACAGAAATAACCTTCAGATATCACCATCACAATTTGAGGACCAATTTTTTTTTTTTCTTTTTAATTTTTATTGTGATTTGGGTGAAAGTTTACAGAGCAAATTCACTTTCCATACAGCAGCTCACATGCACTTTGCCTCACGACATTGACTGCAATTTCCCACAATGCAACAGCTGCCCTCTCACTTCCTCCCCATAGTTACCTCTTCCCTGTGTCCTTCCCTCCATGCACTCCTGCCCCTCCCGAGCTATCTCCCTGTGCATACACTGCCCTTCTATTCTCCCATGATTGATCTCTCCAAGGAATATATCTACCTAATATAAACGTTCAGCATATATGCCTGTCTTTTGTTTGGCTGGAAGCCACAGAAGTGGGTTCAATTCCAGACCTGAAAGGCAGCTAGGGGCCATAGTCTCAGTGGTTCCACAGGCTCTATCAGACCAGCAAACCTGGGAGGACCAATTTTTTAAAAATTCCTTTGAACATGTGCTTTTCAAAGTCAGGAAAGGTATGAGTGGTGGGTAGAAATGGCTCATTCCATTTATCTTGGTACCTCTAGTCCCCTAGTTTTAAAGTGTGATGAGGCTATGTATTATTCAGGTCATGATCACCATCAACAAAAACTTAGGGCTTATCACTCCTAATTTCAATGACACAATCCTCCATGACGTCCAAAGATAATTTTTCAGCTAAATTATTTGCTGTTTTTGACATCAAACAACTATTTTTTTCTTGTTCTCATTTAAGATAAATACATGAAAAAAGCCAAACTCACTCCCATCGAGTCGATTCTGACTCATAGTGACCCCTATTGGGTTTCCAAGGCTGTAAATCTTTACAGAAGCTGACTGCTCCATCTTTCTTCTGCTGGTGGGTGTGGCTGGTGGGTTCGAACCACTGACCTTTTGGTTAGCTGCTAAATATCATAATCACTATACCACCAGAGCTCCTTAAGATAAACATATAGCCCCATCTAATATAGTAGAAACTTCTTTCAACCTGTGGAGCCAGAAATAACCCCTTTCCAGTGTCATTTTTCGTATCTGCCTGACTATTTCTAAACTAAAGGCACTATAAGGTGGCATGAGGTAAGATGACAGACAATCAAAATAAACAATATAATACAACACGCCAAAATAAAGGTATAACTTTGGTAAAAATAGAATTACTTGATGTTTTTCTTAAGGGCTTTCTCCAGTTTCTTCACTTGTTGTTTATAAAGTCTTAATTCATGCTGTGTGGGCCTGTAGAAAATAAATCATGTTGAATGTACTTAATTTACTGAATAGAACTATAAAGATATTTAATAATATGCAATATAGCATACCTTGTTAATTGTCAGAAATATTCTTATTAAAATTCTTAAAATATTTCATGACTACTAGTGATGGTATTTGGGAGCACTGATAGCATAGTGCCTAAGGCACTTGACTGCTAACCAGAAGGCTGGTGGTTCAAACCCACCAGCCACTCCTTGGAAGGAAGGTTGGGGGATCTACTTCCATAGTGATACTGCCTCGGAAATCCAAGGAGGGGTCACTATGAGTTGGGTCCGACTCGACAGCACATAACAACAAGTGACAGTATTTACTTACTGGTCATTTGGATTTCTTCTTCTGTGCATTCCTTGTTCAAAACTTTACTCAGTTTTGTTGTTTTTAATCTATTGCTTGTTTTTATATTGAATTATTTCAAACATACAGATAGAATAGGGAATTCTATAACAAATACTAGTCTATCTACCACCTAGTTTTATCAAATTTTAACATTAACACATTTGCTACAAATCTTGTTTTTAAACTTAAAACATTACAAAAGTACTTAAAACTCCATGGGTCCCTCATTAATGTCATTATCATATGTAATCACTATCCTGAAGTCAGTGTTCATTATGCCCATGCATGTTTTAAAACTTTTACTACATATTTATATAACCAGGAATTTACACATTTTTGTGTGGTAGAGTTTATATACATGGATTATAATATAAGTACCAATTCCCTCTCCACTAAAGAATAAGCTTCATGAGAACAGAGAGATTGTTTTGATGGCTGTTTTATTCCAGAGTGTAGGACAGTACTTAAACTATAATAGGTATTCAACAAGTATTTGTTGAATAAATAAACAAACCTTGACTATGTCCATTCCATATTATTCACAACACATGAGGGCCATCCTTTTGTAGCTACAGATTGAATTATGTTCCTCAAATAGATATGGTGAAGTCCTAACCCCTGTATTTGTGAAATGACCTTGCTTGGAAATAGATTCTTTCTTTAAAGACGCTGTCAGTTAGTTAATGAAAATATGAGAGTACAGTGAGTCTTAATCCCTCTTTTTTATAAATGGGAAGATCAGACAGAGTGATAGTGACACAAAGAGGGAAGATGCCAAGAGAAGATACATCTACAAACCAGGGAATGCCAAATGATGCTCGGGGCTACCATAGGCTTGAAAAGACAAGGAAGGATCTTCTAGAAAGTAGAGAAAACAGAGAGTGTGGCCTGGTCAATTCCCTGAATTGAACTCCATGCCATAAGAACTGAGAGACAATAAATTTCTGTTCTTTAATAAGCCATTTGCTTTGTGGTATTTTGTTATGGCAGCCCTAGGAAACTAAGACAACTTATATAAATATACCTTTCTGTTGTATGGCAACCGTTTTTTATTCCTCTCCTCCTATAACACAGGGATTAGATTAAACAAGAAGACATTCTAAAATAGTCTGGGAATGAGAAACCTGATGGTAAAAGACTGAATCTACTATGAGTTCCCACCTATTTCCTCCCTTCCCTTCCCTACCTATGTGTTCTTTTCCTTCCACCACATATCACAAAAGACAATTGACTAATGTGAGTATAAGAGCATGAGATTCTTAAGCTCAATGTAACAGCAAGGGGGTTGGAATGATCCACTTAATATTCCAAATTCCAGTATGTATATACTTTTAAAAGGATAAAAAAATTACTCACCTAGTTTCCAAATCTTTTTGAAGGTTCAGCTTTTCACTTAAAAGTACATCAATCTTGGATTTTGATTCCTGGAGTTGATTTTGTAATGACTGTAAAAGATTTCACAGAAAAAAGTTACCTTTCCTAGGATTTTTTTACTTGACTTTAAAAGAGAGTCTTTTTAAGTCATGCAGTCCCCATACCACTAGAAGGCCTTTATAATTTGGTGACGCATCCAGAACTGTATAGTCTTTTTCTTCTTCTGACTGACTTTCATCTTCTTTACATGGTCTATAAAAAGATACATGCAGTGCACTTATGAAAAATTAATTTTACAACAATCATATACAAACTTTTAAAATAGCATGCTATGTGAAAGAAGCAGTCATAAATATGATTCTATTTATACGAAATATCCAGAATAGGCAAATCCACAGAGATAGAAAGTAAATTAGTGGTAGATTAGATTGGGGGATGAAAGTATAGGGAGGGTATGAGGAGTGACTGCTAACTAGCGTTTCTAAATGAGGTGATGAAAATGTTCATAAATTGACTGTGGTGATGGTGGCACAACTCTGTGAATAAATTAAAAACCATTAAATTGTACTCTTTAAGGGGTGAATTTTATGGTATGTGAATTGTATCTAAATAAAGCTGTCATACTGCATAGAGCAAATCTGCCACAAAAGATCTCTTTAAAGTGTTAAAAAGCAAAGATGTCACTTTGAGGACTAAGGTGTGCTGGGCCCAAGCCATGGTTATTTCCAATTGTCTCATAAATATAGGAAAGCTGGACAATGAATAAGGAAGAACAAAGAAGGAGAAGAATTGATGCATATGAATTAAGGTATTGCCGAAGAATATTGAATGTACCATGGACTGCCAGAAGAACAAGTCCGTTTTGGAAGAAGGACAGCCAAACATGTTAACAGGAGGGCCTAGTCTCTGGAGAAGGACATCATAATCAGTAACTATAATAGGGGAGTCAACTCAGAGTGAAACTTTTCATCATCTCTACCCACAGCTCCAAAGCCTTGATTCAGAGATTTTGCTTCAGGGGAGAAGCAGGCCATAAAATAGATAGCACCAAATCTCCTATAAAAAGAACTGCCCTCATTTGCATCAGAGCATAAAGATATTTAAACCTAAGGGCCTCTCAAGAATCGAGAAGGTTGTGATAAAGAGCAACTGGGAAGAAATTCCTAGATTTAATGAAGAGAGACAGCCTAGACTGTAGGCCACCTAGTTTTCAGGAGAGAACCAAGGAATAAGACAGCTGGGAAGAATACATAAAACAGTTGGGAGGAATCCTCCTGGAGTCAGAATATTAATAAATTCTGACCTCAGAAACTACTTCTTCAAAGGAGCCACAATACAATTGGATTCATTTGTAGAACAATTTATGCCCCAGGATGCTGAAACATAACAATCAGCCAGTATTTAGTGGAGTTTAACAAATGTGGTCAGGAAAAAAGAGGATGAGAGCTCTATTGACACATTACTGTCACCCCAGGGTGACCGTGGAAATAAACATCCAAAGCTATACCTTCTGGAGGAGCAACACCAGGGGGCTAACACTGTTGGGAGGAAATAGACTTTACCACTAAAATAATTCCAGTCAGCTACTAAAAAAATAAATAATAACAAGCAATGGAGGGACAGGGGGGCAGGGAACAAATCCCCAGAAGTACTACAATATATTTTTTAAATGTCCAGTTTCCAACAAAAATTTAGAAGCATGCAAAAAAATGGAAAATTATGACTCATATACCAGAAAAGCAGCAGACAACAGAAAATGCCTGTGAGAAAGGCCAAATGTTGAATTTGACAGAAAAAGACTTCAAAGTAGTCACTGTAAGCATGTTCACAGAAAGAACAGCAATTAAGTGAACGGACACACATGTAATGTAAACACTAGAAGGCAAGAAGAGAGAAAAAGGAGCAGAAAAAAATATTCAAAGGAATAATATCTGAAAATTCCCCAAATTTACTGAATAACAATAACCTACACATCCAGGAAGTTCAATAAACTCCAAGGAAGATAAACACAGAGATTCACAAGTAGGCATGTCAAAGTAAAAATGCTAAAAGTCAAAGACAAGGAGAACATTTTGAAGGCATCAAGTGACAATGACTCATCATGTACAAGGGAAACCCAGTAAGATTAACAGCTGACTTCTCAACAGAAACAATGGCAGCCAGTCATGGAGGGTGGGGTGGGCAATGAGAGAATATATACAAAGTACTCAAAGTAAAAAACAAAATAAAACTGTCAACTAAGAATCCTACATCCAGCAAAGCTATCTTTCAAAATTGAAGGTCAAATAAAGATCTTCCTAGAAAAACAAAAACTGAGCAAATTTGTTGGTAGCAGACCCACCTCACAAAAAAATGCAGAAGGAAGTTGTCAGGCTGGTAGCCAGTGATTTAAGATGGGAATTTTGAATCCACACAAAAAAACAAAGAGTATAGGTACTTACAAAGAGTATAGGTACTTATGTGATAATTAAACACACTATAAATGTAGTATTTTTCTCCTTTCTCCCTTCTTCTAACTAATTCAAAAAGTAATTGTTTGTTCAATGGGATAGAACTGACAGTCCTGAAATAAACTCATATATCTATGGTCAGTTTTCACCAAGGGTGCAAAGTCCATTCAATGGGGGAAAGAAGACTCTCTTTAGTAAATGGTACTGGGAAAACTAGATTTCCATATACAAAAGAATAAAGCAGGATCCAAACCTCACACCATATCTAAAAACTAATTCAAAATGGATCAAGAGCCTAAATGTGTAAATTACAGCCATAAAATGCTCAAAAGAAAACATAGAGGTAGTGCCATGGGACATAGTTTTTAAAGCTGGATTCTTAGCTATGACACTAAAAGTGCAAGGAACAAAAGAAAAATAAATGGAAGCTCATAAAAATTAAAAACTTTTGTTCATCAAAGGACTTTATTAACAAAGTTAAGAGACAACCTACGTATTAGGAGAAAAATTTGAGGAACCATATATCTGATAACAGTTTAAAATCCACAATACATAAAGAATTTCTACAACTTAACAACAAAAAGACAAACAACACAACAAAAAACATGAACAAAGGACTTGAATAGACATTTCACCAAAGAGGTTACACCAATGACTAACAAGCACACAGAACAATGTTCAATATCATTAGGAAGTTGCAAGTCAAAACTACAATGAGGTACTACCTCATAGAATGGCTATGATTTTTCAAAAAATGGAAAATAACAGGTATAGGTGAGGATATGGGAAAATTGGAACCCTTATCCATTGTTGGTGGGGATGTAAAATGGTAGAACCTCAAAAAATTGAACACAGATATACCATGTTGTTGTTGTTATGTGCCGTCAAGTCAGCCCCGACTCATAGCGACCCCTCCTTGGGTTGCCGAGGCAGTATCACTATGGAAGTAGATTGTCCAACCTTCCTTCCGAGGAGTGGCTGGTGGGTTTGAACCACCAGCCTTCTGGTTAGCAGTCAAATGCCTTAGGCATTATGCTACCAAAGCTCCTATATGACCCTGGAATCCTAATGCTGCATACACCAGCCATAAGAACTGAAAGCAAGAACTCAAACACACACAGGTATACCAACATTCACTGCAGTACTATTCAAAACAGCCACAAAATGGAAACAACCTGTATGTTTATCAACAGATAAATATACACACAGTCTCCAGGAATGTCCAACTTACATACAACCATAGTTACAAATCAACCCCCACAAAGCCTATCATATAAAAAATTCAAGGTACAATGGTTCTCAATAACAAACAGGTGCCACTTTGTGTCACACATCAAAACGTTATTATTGATTATGTTAAAGAAGTTTTAGTGTATCTGGAAGTGTTTCTTTAATGTTTTTATGCACAGAAAGTACTAGATACTAAGACAAACATTTGACTAACTGATGTTAGATATGAACCACACCTAACTATTCTGACTTACATACAAATTCAATGTAAAGACAGATTTAGGAATGGAACTCATTCATAATCTGGAAATGTGCTCAATGTCACTAATATCTTAAGTAGTAGTGCTGGAATTTAAACCTAAATCTGGCTCCAAAGTCTATGCACTCACAATTCCCTATATATACTCTAAAATATTTGCCCTATGGCTACATTTACTCCCAAGAGGAGTCAAATATATAAATATAGTATAATATATAAAGGGAGTGCTGGTAGCATAGTGCCTAAGGCACTTGACTGCTAACCAGAAGGCTGGCGGTTCAAACCCACCAGCCACTCCTCGGAAGGAAGACGGGACAATCTACTTCCTTAGTGATACTGCCTCGGAAACCAAGGAGGGGTGGCTATCAGTTGGTCCGACTCGATGGCACATAACAACAACATAATATATAATAGAGTAGAAGATGACAATTTTAAAGGTATGCAGATCTAAAAGGAAAGTTTTAGTAAGGAATCCTCCATTTCCTTTCCTATAGTCCTTATTTAGTACTGACAAACTGCGTCATTTTCCTGAAATAAAAATGCAAATTGTAAACATGCTTGCAAGCTCTTGTTTGGACATGGGATCCCCACAGCCAAATTCTCCGTCTTTCTCTAATGGCCTTCTCGGAAGGGACCTAATGTTGAAGATGGTGCCCTCTTTTTAGGGATGAAGAAAAGGAACTAGAAAAATCCTGTTTTGTTTCCTGGATCTTCCCTAATCCAACTGTGATCATATCCAGGATATCAGAGGTGAACCTCAAAGCCGCCTGCTTCCAACTCCCAAGATCATTCTTTGAATTTCATCTAGAAAAGGATAAAATTAGGGAAGGGGATACCATTTATTATTTCACTATGGAACTATATCCCTGGGGTAACTACTCAAACGTCTCTTTAGAAGAGTGGTGCAGTAAAAGATACTGACACTGCCCATCTTCTGACACAGCAGAAGAAATGCATGCCGAGCCTTTTGTTGCTGTAAGGTACCTTTAAGTTGATTTTCTACTCACAGCAACCCCATGTGACAAAGTGGAACTGCCACATAGGGTTTTCTAGACTGTAATCTTTATGGAAGCAGATCACCAGGTCTTTCTCCCACAGAGCCACTGAGTAGGTTAGACCAAGCTTTCAGGTTAGCAGCTGAGGGCTTAACTATTACACCACTTTACTCCGAGCCTAGGTTTTATTCCTTTGTTACTTCCCTTGGCTCTTTAATCCTATCTACCAAGCCAGAGAAATACTAATAAAAGTAACCAGCAATATCTTCCATGTATTCTTTATTAATATCTTAACATTAGGTTAAAAAAAATTCTAAG